TTCATAAAAAATGGAGAGGCGGGATATTGTTGTTGGAATAACATATTATAATTGGTGAAGTCGGTAAACGGAGCAACAGGGGCTGCTGAAGTTGATGCTTCGCCAGAATATTTTCGATAATTCACGGCATTTGCTTCTTGTTTAATGGTTTGTTTTGTTTTTTTATTTTTCGCTTTTTTATTTTTCAATTTTTTTATTTTTTATTTTTATTTTTGACGAAAAATAAAAGAACCGCTCAAATACTGATTGCAATGTTTATTTCAATTGATTCTATTAAATAAGATTACCTATGGGAGCAAGATGGAAACCCCTCCAACAACGGTATATGAGACATTCACAGCAGCGAACATTATAGACAAAAAAGTTAAAGGCGCAGTAACGTGACTTCACATGTAGCAAACAGTGTGGCTTCATACATGTGAGTGGAGAGAAGCACATTCCGTATCCTATACTTATTTTTGTAAATTCAAAGAAACAGGTTAACAATAACTACTGTAAATAGTTAATTCAATCACATTCCTGTACATAAATAGTAATTATTTCATCATTTTTGTAGCGCAAAAGATAACAAATGAATAAAATTACGCCAAATGGTGTCCTTTCTGGTAAAGAGTTAAAAAAACCAAATTGTGATTGTGTTGAGTCGCCGATATGGCTTTCTTGAGAAAGCGGCAGATTTTAGTAAAATTTCTCGTGGGGTCAATAATCATGTTGTAACTGCAGTGGTAGATCTTGATTTTAAACTTCTCATACTTTTTTTTTCTTGTGAACTCAGGTCATAAATCACATGATCATACAGACATGTATGTCTGCAATCACATGACATCTGACCTTGTAATTTTTCGAAGAATTTTCTTCAAACTTTATTTTTCGTGCTTTTATCAATCCTTTTTCTTTATTATTATTATCATTTGTATATTAAGTTTTTTGGATTTAAAAGCTTTCTTATTCTAAAGATAAACTTAATAAACGCGAACAGATTTAAAATGAATTATAATACTTGAAATAAATCATACAAATGGCGTCAAATATCGAATATACAAAAATCTACACTTTAAAATTCAACTAATATAAATTTAAATTTATGTTCAAGTTCTTTATAAAGTAGTTTTAGTGAGCATTAACTGTAATTAGATTTATAAATGAACTGCATTCATGAACCAACTTGGCACAAATAAAATAATTCAAAAGAAGCTATAAGAGGTTGTAGAGTTCTAAAATATACTTACAAGCTAAATAACAGAAAGAACAAGTTTGTTCAAATACACAATCTTTTTATAGTTAAACTTTTGAAATTATAATGTGAGTTATTGTAATTATTTGTTATATGTTTTTAAATATAAGACTACCTTTATTTTTTGTCAAAATATGAGTAACAAGCAAATAGAAAAGAAAAAAATTATATACAGTTAACTTTCTATAATAAACTGCCAGTTTTTATAATAAATGTTTTAAAAGTTTTTTATATTGTAAAGTAATTTACTATGTTATACTAAACACTAAAATAAATTTTTAGTAAAACTCTTTATTGTTTATTATAAAATATTCAAAATAAAAAGAGTTGATTTATTATATTACATAGTGTTGCTATTAGTTAGAAGAGCAATTATAGATATTAGGCCAAGTCTAAACTTATTGCATCAAAAGAACTTTATATAAACTAAGTAACTAAAAAATAGATCTTAGATATAGATAGCTACAACATAGTCTAAATCTCAATACATATATATTAAGTAACAAGTGTATCCTGCATTTATATTACTGCATTCAAAATTATCTAATAGTAATAAAGTTAGAGATCAGATCTCATCTTAATATCAAAAAAATAGTAACTATAATTAAATTTTTTAAAAAAACTTTAATCAAAAATATTTGAATAATTACTTGAACCAAATTTAATAAAATTTTTTCATATTAAATTTTCAGAATTATAATATTCAAAAAATTTTTATTAAATTTTGAACAAGTAGTTATTAAAATATTTTTAATTAAAAATTTTAATGTATAATTTAGTGAATAATAAGAAAAATCATATATATAAGAGTTAGAAATATTTTGCGCCAAAGCTTGAAGTTGTATTTAGAGAATTATTGCATTTAAAAAGATTGTATTTAGAAAGATCTAATTGTATCTACTTTGGTAATATAATATATACATTACTTATAAAGAAACATTAAAAATTATCAAAAAATTGACTAACTTCATAACCAAGATTTTTTTTTCAATTTTATTACAAACCAGTTTTAAAATTTTATGAGAAGAACCTTCTAATACTAGAGAATTTGCAAATTCAGACCCAGAAATTGCTTCTTCTTGCTAAATAAGTCGAGAATTTGCCTATTGCCTAAATTATGCGTATGAAATTTAGTGCTTCAATCATTTGACCCAACACACATGATCTGCATGACAAATCGTGTGACTGATACTGATACTTATAAAAAGTTAATTAGCGAAGGAACAAACGAATAATATGAATGAATACAAAGAAAAAATAATCAGGCATACTGATTCACATTATTATTATTATTATGTTCCGAATTGATTGTAAACCGGCATGATGTAATAGATAAAGCACATGGATAACCGCAGGTGGTAGCCTTATGATTTTAATAATAACCTGCAGTAGTAATGTGAAATTTTTTCCGTTCGTGTTTACATAATGCCCCCAGATTATTGATCGACTAATCAGTGTTAATAGTGACTCTCAGTTCATATATTCTTATTGGTGACATTGTATTGCGAAGCTTTTCTGTAACAACACATAATGAATTCCTTTGTTTTTTTTAAAATTAATTTATATTGCTATATCTAATCGAAAATTCTGATATATTAAAAAGGCTTTCATACAGAATTACAAATTATTGCTTACGTTAATGCTTTAGCATTACATCTTAGTGCAGTTATGTACCTTATATAGAACTAGACATATGTTTGATTTTATTAGATGATCTGCCGCCCAACATATAGAAATTCAATAATAAACGACTAGCTACGTAGTTATTTACTTGTTGCTTTAAGTTATGTGAGTGAAACTTGCAAGAGTGTTTTTATATATTCGATAACTTTATCTATAGAATTTATTCTGATTATTCTGATAGCAATATTAAAAATTAAGGTTGAAATGATTAAATACATAAGAACTTACACTTTTTCGTTTTGGTTGGACTGATTTATTATTATTATTATTATTATTATTATTATTATTATTATTATTATTATTATTATTATTATTATTATTATTATTATTATATTATTGTATATATATCAGTTTATCATTATTGATAATAAAAATTCCGTATAGTTTTTTTTTATAAAATTAATTCAGAATTGAGTATAAATATCTTCTATGATCCATGCATTTATAACAATAATAGGCAATTCAAGTTTGTAGCATTTATCTTTACATAATGTCTGTCGCAGCTAATGCTGAAATTCGAGGTCGCTGTTTGAAAATATAAACCTTACTAAAATCTACATGTAATCTTTAATTGTCAATTCTAAAATAGGTCTAATTTTTACGTTAACCAATTTCAGCATTAGGTTTATTTCATTAATATAAATAAATACAATAATGGAGATTATTTACTCATTGATGCATTGTCTGTGAATCAATAATGCATAGTAATGTAACACAACAATAATCATCAAATATTTACGCCTTATGCTCATGCAGAAATTTGGCACATTTTAAGAAATTTTTTTGTGGCACCGCTAATGACAAATACTACTGTAGGGAAACCACTGCGTGGTATTATATAATTTGAGATTTTTTTTGATTAAATCAAATCAATAAATTAATGAAATACAGTATTCTTTGATGATGCTCTAAAAATAGAACAACAACCGATCATATGGTCGCTAATTTAATTTTGCAAATTAAATCAAAGCATGTTTACAAAAAATTTATAGCGCATCGGAAATTGAATTTTGCGTATCACAAACATAATTACATTCTTTTTAAAGCTCCTAAATAGTGGTTTCCCCATTTCCCGGTATGAGGTACGTGAGAAGTGTCTAAAGTGGAGTCAGCACATATAATTTAATATTTTTGAACTAACTTGAGGGTTTGGTCCGCTTTAGATTAAGCTAGGCTTGCAAGTTTTCCCTTTTTTTCGGCAGGCCTGACCTGGTTGACTGGTTAGCATCACATGATTTATCCCCACTTTAGACACCCACAAATATGGAAAGTGGACAAAGATTTGATTCAGCTAATGGTCATAAAGATTGAATGATTTATCTATTATGATTATTGGTTTAATCCGATCAAAACAGACCCTCAATATTTTGAGATCTACGTACCTTGTTATACATATATAAGCTTAATTAGATAATTTGTTTGTCTTTCATGTAAACTTTTTTACTTTTTAATGATATATATATTTAAATCGATATTTGGTCGAATCTTTTCTATTCCATTACTCCATAAGAACACTATGATTAATGGCTTCTATCATTCCAGTAACAAAGGATCAATATATCTTTATAGCTAAATCATGTGTTCCTTTGAATATCATTTCTCTCATTTCTACTGTTATCTCATGTTTGGCATTTGGCTTTATACGAATATACTATCCTAATCTCGCTGATCGGGTTTCATTTCGTTTAAGTTTTGTCGCCTTATTCTGTGATATAGGTTATTCAGTTCATGTTTTGATTGGTTTGGTTTGGGATAATACTCCCGGTATTTTTTGTGCATATACGGTAAGATATCCATTAGCCTTTTTTTTTTTTTTTGATACCCATTAGCTTTCTTTTTTTGATATCCATTAGCTTTCTTTTTTGATATCCATTAGCTTCTTTTTTGATATCCATTGACTTCTTTTTCGATATCCATTAGACTTTTTTTTAATTTTTAATTTATTTTTATATAAAAGACTTGGGCAGTCGTATTTTTTGGTCTTGCTTCTCTATTCTTTATCGTTTGTATAGCTTTGGTATGTATTATAATTATATTTCATCGTGTTATTTAATATATATTTATTTATATTTTATTTTATTTTAGAACCTTCATATAATATTCATAAGCGAATGTGGAAGTCATTATAACTTTGAAAAGTATTATTTTATAATTTCACTTACTTTTGCCCTTTTACTCTCTTTCCTTCCTGTTGCTGGTAATATGTATGGTTATGATGATCCCGAAGCGTATGTATATATATGTGGACATACGTTGTGCCTCGGACTAACGCTTGCCTCAGATGTTCATTTTTGGCCAGTATTAACTAAGCAGCATTGGTTGGCCTAAATTATACCTGATCTTAAGCCGATTGACACCTGAGGCAAGCGTTAATCTGAAGCACGACATATATCGATATTTATTTTATATTTATATCAAATTTATATCATTTGAATGACGGTAATAGAAACTTGCAATTCTTAAAATAGATTGTTATAAAACTATATTAATATATTTTTAGAGCTACAGATTTTCTCTTCCCGTCATTCATATTTTATTTCATATATTAATATTTATTAATATTTATTACAGAAGCTGTTGGTATCGTGGTTCGGGTAAAGAATATAATATAATATGGCAATGGCTTACTCTTTTCGGTTGGATAGATATATCCATATTGTATTGTGCGATCGTTGTTATTATGGTCGTTATAAAACTCAGTTCTGTAAACGAAAATGTTGTTGATAATTTAGATTCTCCGACTTCTCGGTTATCTGGTTCTCCCACCTTAATTAATAAATCTGTGATTACTTCTGTTGTCAGAAGGGTTGTGTGGTATCCTGTGGTGCCATTGGTAGCTCAAATTTGTAACTCTTTCCTTGAAACTTATGCTTATGTTAATCGTGTAATATCTTATCCTCTACTTTTACTTTGCACTATTGGCATGTCAATTCAAGGTATATATGTTTTATATGCGTTTTTTTGTTTTACTATTATTTGATTATTCTTGATTATATTGTTATTTAATAAATAAATATTTTGCTCCTTAGGATTACTGAATGCTTTAATATTTTCCCAAGATATTGCAGTTACTCGTGCTTTCCAAGCTGTTAAACTACATTGGTGGATCAACAATGTTAACTCTTATGAATATCACTATCCTCATCTATCCCACAACAAATCCATTACCGATGAAATTAGCACGCTAGGAAATTCCAATACTTTTATTAAACTGAAGACTCTAAATCGCAATAAGGTTGATATCATTGAAAGCGATGATGTTATCAATGACGATATTATCAATGACAATATTATCTATGACGATATTATTAACAATTACTATCATAATAATAATAATTATATTAATACCAATAATAATAATCATGATAATAACAACAATAATAATTCAGTTCTACAACCTTCTCTTTTAGAATGGTTAAGATACACGCTGTTGATTAAACTCTTTTCGGCTCCAATAATTTCACCTGAATTCTTATCACAGATCGATACTTGTGCTGGAAATAAGACTAATATCTCTTCTGCCCTCTTTAGAAAGGACGATCCAAAGCAGGATATAACTCTTGGAAATCAGAATAATGATCAAGATATTAATTTGGTTCCTCCTGAACCTGTTCATTTAAAAGATTCTTCCTCATTAGATTTATTATCTCATTGTGCGAATCCATCAACTTCATCTGATCCCTTTATAGGTAGTTCTAATAGTAATAAAATGGATCAAACTAATAATATAAGTGATATAAATAATACACACCTTTCACATAATTTTGCCACAAATTTAATATATATATCAAATCGTACGGTTGGTGATGATATGGGACAGGCCAAAGTTGAGCTTGTTAATGGTGAACACACTATAAGTATATCGAGAGAATTTACAGATGGATTTAGTTCAGATGTCGATATATCTCAAGATATATCTCAAGAAAACAGATTATGTAATCTGATAAAAAGATTGTAAAAAAAATTTTTATTAATTTCTTGCATTCAATCATTGTAAAAACAATTTTTTTTATTAATTTCTTACATTTGTAACTAGCTAGCACTTTCTTTTTTTTTTCTGTACCCATATGTGTGTGATTAAACATAAAAATAGTACTCATTATGATAATAAATTTATAAAATACCATAATTTTTTGAGTAAATTGAAAGTTTTTGTTTGGGCATGGATGGGAATCTAATGGAGTCAATAGATTTTGTATATGAATATATCTACTCCTATTTTTAGGTTAAACTATTACGAAGTGCCAACATCTTGTTTAGTACTTTTTTTTATATATTGTTTGATTGTTTGTCAACAGATTATTTGTGAATTATAATTTTAAAAATCGACAATAACAAATTAGCATACAATAAACAAAATAAAATTAGTGAAATATATTGCGATACACTATTTGTGATCTTTACACTAGCCTAATAGTTAATATGAATAAAATAGATAGAATTAATAGAAAAAATATTCGTAAATTTAAATATCATATTTTGACTAATAGATTATTAAAATACTAACTGGTTAAATCAGTAACTATACGAAATATGATCTACTGACTGATTAGCACACATAAAAAATGAAAGATGAGTAAAAGATTTGAATACTTTATCACAAAGTTTGTCGATTCGTTTAAAAAATACTTGTTAATTATTTGCTAAATACCTACTAAATACTTATTGGACCTAAGGTATGTTGGGATGCAATTATATGTACTTATTTAAAGTCCTTAAAAAATATTTAAAATTTAGTATAATTTAAAATTTAAAGTACTTTAATAATATTAAATTTAAGTGCTTATTTAATATTGCTGTTTAGCGGGCCTAGGGTTGTGTTTGGTTCAACTTTCTGATGTTTTACTATTGATATACAGGGGTACATATTATTACGGACATATTTAAAAAATTTATACAGAGTAAATATGTAAGATTTTAAGCCAAAAATCAAATTATAAATTCTTTAAATCTATATCTTTTAAATAAAAAAAGTTTAAAAAGTTTTATGCAACAGTTTTTAAAATAATTAGGTTTAAGTAAAATTTTAGGTTTTATATTTGTACAATTTTTATTGTTATACCAAAATTAATTAAAATAATTTCTGTATAATAAAAATTAATTTTTTTTAAGTTAACTAGCTCTTATAACCTGGTGTTGCTCAGGTTCAGGTTTTAATTTTTTTCTAATTCTTAGGTTTAAATATATAAATTAGCTCTTAGAACCAGTTATTGCCTCAAGTTTAAGGTTTCTATTTTTTTTAATTTTTTATATTATATTAGCTTAGAACCCAGATATTGCCTAGATTCTAAAATTTAATTTTTTAATTTATAAATTGTTTAACAATTTTATATTATATACTATATGAGTGTTGCCAAAAGAAAACCTGACAATTTAAATATAGTTTATATTTAAATTGTTAGGTTTTCTTTTGGCAATACATATATTATGTATTTTACATGCCTTAAATTTTACATTAGAGTTTCTATTGATTAGCTTGAATCAAATTTTGAATTTTTAAAAAAAATATTTAAAACAGATTAAAAACAAAAGTTTGGTTTGATTTGAGTTTGGATTTAAAATTCACTATTTTATAATATATATATAGTTTTTTATAAAAGTATTAGTTTTTTTTGTTATTAAATTAAAATATTATTTCTTTTTTTATTAAATTATTATTTCTTTTTTTTTTAACTATTAAATTATTCTTTATATTTTATGTTTAATTTTTTTATTAAATTATTATTTTTTTTATATAAGGTGAGTATGGGTATTATGGTATAGTTAAATATACCAATAAGAAACTTTTTCAAATTGCCTTAAACAAATATTTTTACTAAAAAAAATTTTTCTAGATATATAAAATTTCTTCCAAAAATCAAAATCTTCAAGTTGGCAACCAAAAATAGTGCACACTAGATAATCAGGTAGTACTGCTTTATTTTTACTTTTTTTTTCAAGCCACTTTTCTTCTCTAATATGCTATTGATCTAATTTCATATATTCTCTTTCTTCTTTTTTTTGATTGTGAATTTTTTGTTTTTGTGTCTTTTTGTCTCCTGTTCTATTCATTTTTGAATGGCCACCTCTTTTTTTTCTTTTTTTTTATTGGCAGCTCTTTTTACCTCTTTCTCTGCTTCTCTTAATAAATACAATAATTCTTCATTTGTAAGAAGTAGTGCTTGGTACAATCAAATAATTACTTGATAGTCAAATACTTAAAATATTTGATGATCACTGATTTTCAAATTAGGTAATGCATAATCTCAATCTAATAAGTTTGTATATTAATATTGATATAAGCTTACTCTTACAGCTAGAATAGATTTTCTAGATTCTCAAGTTTAAACTTTTTATATTACAACAAAATAAAAGCTTAAAACATTTTTATTATAGAATACTGAATCCAACATTCAAATATTAAGCTTAGAATATTATAAAATACTAGATCCAATCTTTGCTTAAAACATCTAGATCTGATATTCAAATATTAAGCTTAAATTATAGAACACTAGATTTAACATTCAGATGTTCTTAGTAATAATATATTGTATTTTGTTTTTTGTTCTATCCATTGTTTTTAGCTTTTTTCTATTCTTTTTCTATGAAAATAGTTTAGGTTTTTTGTTAAATAAGTGTGGGCTTCTTAGGGCACTTCAGCCTCAAACTCTGCAAATACTCTTTGTTAGTTGGTGATACTAGGAAGTATAGTATTTTATCTTTTTTTTTTTTTTTTTAATTTTTCGGCAAGTCTCGCCGTGACTTTGGTTCCAACTATTATATAGATGACCCTAGTACGCATGCTACTTAGGATCATGGGACCTCTATAACCCCATATGGGTACTATATATATCCACCTGGAATTCCATTGCCCGACATTCTCTGGTTCCCTCATTGGGCCTAGATCCAACCACCTGCATGACACTCCGGAGAGGTCGAATCACCTTTCTATTGTACTGGGATTTCACCAGCCAATCTGGTGTCACCACGAGTTCTTGTAGTATCTTTATCAGATTTGGCCTTACATTACGTCTCGTAACTTCGGTTATTCCAAATCGGGGTTCTAACACGCCTTGTTTCATAGCTACAACTTCTCGGAATAACTATTCCTCAAATACATCTATCTGTAGATATCCTGGATTCTCTGTCCCCCATGGTGTTTCACTTCCGTTTTCGAATTTTCATTAATCTGCCATTGGGAGGAATTGAACTAGCAACCGTTCGATTTGCAACCTGGGAGTATAACCGCTATGCTATCGACCCACAGTCGTTTAGTTATAATGAATAATAATTCAAGCCAAAATTTATATATACACACAGAATTCTATATATATATAAATATGTAACGTAAATAGAAGTATTATATAGATTAATGTCAATATATGCTAGCTGATATCTTTTGTATATAATCCATATATAGGTTGCAGAAATTTGCTAATATGTGCCAATCTAATAGGTCACAGATATGTGCCAAGTATCGGTAAGCTATTGGTATAGCATGTATTGTTTAGATTATACTAGATTTCGGTAATCTATATGTAATCTATTAGCTAGCAAATAGGTTGCTAAAACTTTATTGTTCAACTAGTATATATAATTCTAGCAAGGTGTTATTAAATAATTAAAGTAAGAACTTTAAATAAATAGCTATTTTAGAAACAATAAAATTAGTGATGTATTATTTATATGAATTTTAGATTTTTTTAGTATATATAGTGAATATAGAATATGCAATATATATTGTATATATATAGCACTAGTCGAAATTAAAACATTCAGCAATAAATTAGTAATAATTCAGTAACAATTCAGTAAACATTTAACAACTATTCAGGCATTGATTCTTGCTACTTAGCTGCTACTCAGCTACCACTCAGTAAAAATTCAGTAACATATTACTAAATTTTTACTGAGTGGTAACTGAGTAGCAGGAATTGGTGTCTGAATGGTTGTTAAATGTTTACTGAATTGTTATTAAATTATTACTGATTTATTGCTGAATGTTTTAATTTCGATCAATATAAGCATCACCAAAAGAAAATCAAACAATTTAAATATAAATTATATTTAAATTGTTAAATTTTTTTTTTTGGCAGCACTTATATAATATAAACTATCTATATACAAAATTTTGCAAGAACTAATCTTTTAGAATACAAAAAATAGTTATATAAGAAACTTTTAAAATATAAATAGTTTTATAATTTGTTCTAGCATATTTTAATAATTTTTTGTATGCTATACTATATGTAGCATATTACTAGATATAATCATATGATTAAAATTCTATAATATTAGTTACACAATTTGTCACACTATATTATATATAAATTTTTTATATATAAAATTATAATAAAAAATATATAAAATTACTATGAACTTTGAAGTGTGGTGACTTAGTGTAGTGGTCTAGTCGTCACTCTCTCCAAGTGGCAGATCTAGAGTTCGAATCCCATGGATGACGATATTTAAAAAATAGGCCTGTGTTCAGTTGACAGCTATGCTTATTGGTTGGATTCAGAAATCTGTAACTTCGGTTACACTATCTAATAATAGGAGCTTTGGCACAATAAACCCAAGGAACCAGCATAACCGAAAACTCATTTGAGAAGTCCTAAATTTGGATGTAACAATAATCTTTAATAGTACCACAGAAGAGCTAAATTCGAACTGGGTCTGAAATTGGAGAACCGAGCAATCAGATTCTTAAGTGGAGGAACACATCAGCCGAACCGTCAAGCTGACGCACTGGAGGAAAAGAGTATACGCTCCAAAGGTATGAACCAAGGGAAGAGAGCATCCTTCAGGCACCTAAAGCCTGAGCAGACTAACCCATCCAAGTTGCCGGCTGGATGTAAGAGAGGGATCGATAGAGAATCTGAGTAAGGAAATGGTTCCAAGTATAGGTACTAGGTTGTTGTGAACTAATTAAGAGCAATGAATACATAATGGGAGACTAATTAGAAAAGTTGTGGCTTG